TGAGGACAGGCACTTTGAGTTTGAGTGTCTCGTGGCCGCTTTACCTCGTTTCGCGTCCATGCTGCTTTGCCCTGAGGGAGACCCGGATGCACTTGACATCCCTAACCCGCGCTCTTACGCAGAGGCGATCACGGGTGAGTACTCCTCTCAGTGGCAGACAGCCATGGACGCAGAGATGGCTTCCTGGAAGTCCATAGGCACATACGTCGACGAGGTTACTCCTCCTGGGGCAAACATAGTCGATGGCATGTGGATTTTCAGTGTGAAGCGGCCGCCGGGTTCTCCGCCTGCCTTCAAGGCACGTTACGTTGCTCGAGGCTTCAGTCAGCGACAGGGGGTCGACTTCTTCCAGACCTTCTCCCCCACCCCAAAGATGACTACTCTTCGGGTGTTACTGCACGTTGCAGCACAGCGTGACTACGAGCTGCACTCCCTCGACTTCTCCACAGCTTTCTTGCAGGGCAGCCTTTACGAGGAGATCTGGCTGCGCCGCCCACCTGGCTTCTCTGGGTCGTTTCCTGAGGGTACCCAGTGGATCTTCCGGCGGCCAGTCTACGGTCTCCGCCAGGCGCTCCGCGAGTGGCACGACACACTGAGGACGACACTTGCGGCTCTTGGGTTTGCTCCTTCCACTGCTGACCCGTCGCTGTTTCTGCGCACCGACCCTTCTCTGCCGCTGTTCTACATCCTCGTGTACGTCGACGACTTGGTCTTTGCTACTGCTGACACTGAGGCGCTGGCCCTTGTGAAGGCGGAGCTGCAGAAGAGACATACTTGCACTGACCTGGGTGAGCTGCGTAGCTATCTTGGCTTGCATATCACCCGGGACAGAGCACGGTGCACCATCACTCTGACTCAGTCGCACATGGTGCACCAGGTCCTTCAGCGCTTCGGCTTTCGGTTCTCCTCGCCACAGTCCAGTCCTCTGCCTACAGGTCACACGCTCTCAGCTCCACCTTCGGACGAGTCCGCAGAGCCGAGTGGCCCGTATCCAGAGCTTGTGGGCTGCCTCATGGACCTGATGACGTGCACACGACCTGACCTCTCGTACCCTCTCAGCATCCTTGCTCGCTTCGTCGCCCCCGGGAGACACAGGAAGGAGCACTTGACAGCTGCGCAGAGGGTACTGCGTTACTTGTGCAGTACATCGGGCATGGGGCTCGTGCTTGGAGGACGGGGTCCAGTGGTACTCACAGGACACTCCGACGCTTCTTGGGCCGACGACCAGGCGAATCAGCGGTCGTCACAGGGTTACTCTTTCAGTCGCGGCTCTGGTTCTTTCTCGTGGAGGTCCACTCATTCGTCCTCTGTGCTTGGTTCCAGCTGTGAGGCTGGGATCTATGCTGGGGCAATGGCTGCACAGGAGTTACGCTGGCTGACCTACCTGCTGGCCGACTGTGGTGAGCGACCTCGTTCTCCTCCAGTTCTGTACGTCGACAACAAGGACATGATTGCCTTGTGTCAGGAGCAGAGACTGAAGCACAAAACGAAGCACATTGCTCTTCGTTACTTTCTTGCTCGGGAGCTGCAGCAGCGTGGTCAGCTGCGCCTTGCTTACGTGGCCTCTCGGGCCAACACTGCTGATGTCCTCACCGAGGCCCTTGGGTCTGGTGATCATCAGCGTTTCTACACTGCTCTAGGCCTTGTGCCTACTCTGCCTCACCAGCTGATTGCTTGACTTGTCTTGTACTGTGATCGATATATATATATATATATACCTTCATGCTTGCTCTTGCTAGGTGTTGATCACTGTACTACTTGTGCTTTTATAACGCTGCATGTGAACTGGCCTTGTGGCCGCTTGCTTGTGCTCAGAATGCGTGGTGATCTGGAAATCCACCCTGAGCTTTGCTTTGCTTTGTTCTCTTGCTTGACTGGTCTTGTGACCGTCCGTTGTGTTTGCTATCCCCAACTTTGCCTATGGGGGTGTATCAAATTGCATTTGTTATCTCTAGGCTGTACTGGGGCATACTCTAAGGAGTACAACACCTCAGGTCATTCCTAGTACTTGTACTCACTCTTCCCTACTAGTCACTCGTTCTTGCCTGCTATTTCTGACATAAAGTAAGGGCCTTCATCGGGATCTAAGTTTGAACTGATGGTTTTGCGAAGAGTCACTCTACACAGGGAGCTAGAATACGGGGGAAGGCACGGGAGTTATGAGTGATCGTAGCTTGCCCGTATTCTCTAGCACTTGCACATTCATCGAGCAAATTGGCAAGAGTTTCACTAGCAAAAGTTGAGAACACAATGATGGCAATAGCAATGGCAAAGTGACTACATCTGTTACCTAGCATCCTAGCAACCTGGCAGGTCAACCTCCATCGTAGCACTGAGGTGGCTTGACAGAGTAGCAAATCGACAGCGTGCCACCGCACTTGGGAGGCGGATTGCCAACACTGCAAGTCAACGACCTGCTAGGGCGGCTTGCCAACGCTGCAGCAAGGCGGCTTGCCAGCGTTGCAACCGCATGTGACTATAGCGCACACGCGCACCACTTTGCAGGTGCTGGTAGGCGGTCGAGCACGTTGTGCCTCGTCCCGCCCGTCGCGCAGGTGCCGGGTCGGCCACGTGCCGACGGTTGCGCCAGATGCACCACGTCGTCATTGGGATACCAGCCCGCAGGTCGACTTCGCCAAAGCCTTCAGGGGCGAAACTCGCACACATGCCGAATTTCGCAGTCGAGCAGCTTTCGTCGACCAGCTCAACGCAGCTCAGTCGAACAGCACTCTTCGACAGACTCATCGACCAGCATCTCTCGACGGGCTCGTCGACCACTGACGTCGACCAAGTCCCGTCGCACACGGCCTACTCGACCACCACTTCTATCGACCAGCGAAAGCTTTGACGACCACTATGTCGAGCACTCCTGGTCGACAGCAAGATCGGCTGCGCCCAAGCGAGGGCGGGGCCTTTCTCTTCGACAGGTTTCACCGTCGACAATGTCCGGTGAAAAGGAGAGTTTGCGCTGCTTGTATTTCTTCTTGCCCGGAAAGCAAAGGGGCAGAAATGGGCGTAGCAACTGAACGAGCAGGTAAGTTAACACATCTACAAGACGGACGAGTAGAAGTAGCTAGGGAAATGGGTCGGATTGGCTTATTGCCATCGATGGGAGGAAAGAGGAACACCGCCTCGGCGGTGTTGGGCATCTATACAGTAGATGGAGCAGCATGTACAAGTATGCACTCGCCTGTAAAGGTATCGTAAGTGAGAAAAATCAGGCTTGTGCGTGGCACCGGACCGTCAACGTCCCGAGGGAGGGCGGTGGGAGATGTGGGAGGTGCTTCATTGCAAGCATCGGACGCCACGTCGAATGGCAAAATTTCCATGGCTATTTCATCCGTGAAGTGAGAGTCGTACAAAGAACTAGTGAGTTCAAGGAAAGTTCATGCGCGCTTTAAATGTTGATATCTCCCTCACTTATATGCGCTGGCAGGACGCAGCCAAAACGAGGTAGTCAACCATCATGCCAGCAGTGCGGCACTGGCAGCAGCTGGGTCAATAGCTGCCCCAAAATGGTGTTGATGGCAACGCTACACGATTTAGATTAATTATGCGTAAATGCACCCCTCGGAAAATCGACATATTTAGTGCGATAGTGGCATAGTGGTGCGATGTCAGAAGGAAATTCCCTATTTTCTAAGAATTCAGACGAATTGTACACGCTATTCTAACAAATCAGACGAACGTATTGATCAATTTTGGTGATTCCGAATGATACCATATCGACAACCCTGCCCCGGCTTGGTCATAGGCTACCAACCGATGCGTATGTCTTGGACGCGATAGTGAAAAGGGTAGCGGATCGGCAAACCTTTTGAGGTGTTAATGGACGAGAGGCCAAGAGGTGAGTGAACATTGTTTTACCTGGTATGTTGGATGGCGCGAAAGAAGTAGAAATTCCTACACATGATAACAAACAAGTGTATATAAAATTTGTTATGGACAGTAGCGACACACCCCAAGCCCCGATAAACACGGCACACGGCACTGGTCCCGTCAACCCCGCGCCCGCAACTTCTTCCCAGTCTTCCCTTCTCTGTCCTAGTCAAACCCTCCATGAAAATCGAACAGGGTCTCCGTGACTCGGGTCCTCCAACCTTGCAGCACTTCCATTCTTTCTTGGCGGCCACCATGAATATGATGCTGCCTTTTGCGTCGGTAGAAAACCATGAAACCTGTCGTAAGCTGCATTTCTTCACTCGAGAATATCATTTCATTCTGGCAATACTACGAATGGTACCATGTCGTTTCTGCCGTCCTCCCTCTTCCCCAACTTCTGGGCCCCTTCCCCTCCTCTGTCGATTATTGAGAAGGTCCTATCCGACGAGTACCTTCTCTCGCTCGTGCTCCGTTCGCTAACGCGCGACTCCTTCCATTACGCGCTTGTCTCCAAGCGATGGTACGCCGCAGCGCGGTTCTCGCTCGCACACCTCGTTATCAAATCCAAGATTCGATTTTCCGTTCTCCTAGACACGATTCGAACCTTTCCCTCGCTCACGCACCTAGAGCTTCGAGAATGTCGCGTTCAGGATCCGAACGGCGATGCTCTCTTCCAATGCCTGGGCGCCACGTGTCCGCATTTGACACATCTGACCGTACACTACCAGTTTCGCATGCACGTCACGTGCAACGGCCTCTCGACTCTATTCCATGGCTGTCGCAAGCTCCGCGACCTGCGCCTGCTCACCCTCCACTCCCTCCCGCACCTCCCGCCCGCCGTCACTCTCCTCTCGGACCTGAGAACCCTCCATCTCTGCCGCTGCTACGAATATTACGGCGTGGATCGATTTGAGCATCTTATTTCACCCCCTGAAAGCATCGGCGCGCTTCAGCAGCTACAGGAAGTCCGCTTTATGACAGGATCGCCGTTCCGAGGTCTCCCGGATTGCATCAGCAGCCTCACGAACCTCCGAAGCTTGACCTTTTCCAACCCCTCCCTCTCTCACCTCCCCACCTCCATTGGTGACTTACCGCATTTGCAAACCCTAAAAATCGAGATGGATAAGTTAAAGTTGATTCCGGAATCCTTTCAGCAGCTCACCGGCCTTCGGTCCTTCTCGCTACAGTCCAAGCGTGTGAAGCGCGCGCCTGAGCATGTGGTGGGGGCGATGGTGCGACTGAAGTCGCTGTCTCTCAGCTGCAGGTCCATCCAGAGCCTGCCAGACGCCATGTGCTCCCTCCCCCTGTCCTCCCTCTCCATCCTCTCATCCCCTGTAATCACCTCCCTTCCTGAAAACCCCGGAGCCCTCGTACTGCTTGAAACCCTAAAGCTTTGCAATCTGCCCAACCTTCAGTATCTGCCTGAGAGCGTGGGAGATCTACAGCGACTGAGATCGCTGGAAATCAGCCAGCTGGGTCTGCTGCAGCTGCCCGAAAAACTGTGCACGGGGAGTGTGAGACACAGCCTGGAGGGGCTTTACCTGCGCGACTGCAGTGGACTGAGGCAGCTGCCTCCCCAGCTGGCCATGCTGACGCGCCTGGAGGAGCTTGAGATCACCTCCTGCTCTCGCCTCGAGTCCCTAGAGCCATTGCTTGCTCCGTATCCCCCATTGGGTGTGACCTGCTCCCTTCCTTCTGCTCTTTCTCTTGCTGCTGCCCCTGCTCCTGACCCTGCGCCTCCCCATATTCTTGACCCTGCTCCTGCTACTGTCACTGTCGCTCCTACAGCCAGTGTTTGCAGTAAGGCCAACACGTCCAGTGACCCACAGTCGCAGGCACAGGCACAGGCACAGGCACAGGCACAGGCACAGGCACAGGCACAGGCACAGGCACAGGCACAGGCACAGGCACAGGCACAGGCACAGGCACAGGCACAGGCACAGGCACAGGCACAGGCACAGGCACAGGCACAGGCACAGGCACAGGCACAGGCACAGGCACAGGCACAGGCACAGGCACAGGCACAGGCACAGGCACAGGCATGGGCACAGGCACAGGCACAGGCACGGGCACAGCACAGCACAGAGCAGCCCACCGCACAGCAGCCCTGGGGCCTGGCGTCCCTCACCAGCCTGTCACTCTGTAGATGCTCGCGAATCCCCTCGCTCCCGGATTCCTTCTCCACGCTCTCTGCCCTCTCTTCCCTCACCCTCACCCACATGCACGGCCTCTCCAACCTGCCAAAATCCCTCGGACAGCTGGAAAACCTCAGAATCCTGAAGCTCCAATACTTGGAAAAGTTATCTGTGCTGCCCGAGTCACTCGGGCAGCTAAAAGAACTTGAAACGCTGGAGCTGTGCTATTTGCCGGAGCTGAACTCTCTGCCCGGGTCACTGCGCTGGCTGCCGAAGCTGAAAGAGCCATTGCTGATCGATGTGGGTAGGGTGACAGAGTGGTGGTGGATTGACTACCTCCCATCCGTTCGGTCTGCCAGAATGCGGTTGATGCTTCATTGAAGGCTCCCATGCAGACCCCGTTTTACTCGGTACCTGCATGCTCAATCATCGCCTCATGGTCTGACCAGACAGCTTGGTGGTGGATCGATTGACCATTGTCCAACGACTGTCAAAAGCAGGGTAATGAAGTGTACTGCCGAGTTGATGTACGTAAATTGCCTCCATCCTGGCCTGTAGTGCATGCAAGATTACAACACGGATAGACCAGACCAGAAGCAAAACGCTTGAAACCCTAAAGGTGACCACTGATATGTAATAGTATTTTTAGTGTACACATGAACTCTCGATGTGGGTCAAATCCTGATGTCACAGTACCTATTGTTCCCTCACCCCAGTGACTATGCCGCAGGCAATGTTGGGCCACCATTGGGCCAAAGTTTTCCAAACCAGACCAGCAACCAGAACCTCGTTCCACGTGCCTCGCCCTCAGATCACAAACCACAAGGGTTCACGTCGGTGGTCGGTTCGGTGGTGCAGTCGGGTGGCCTTGGGAACTGCGATCAGTGGCTGTCTGACAGGTTTGATTGGGGGAATGTCGTGTCATGCCTGGCTGGGTGGTTCGTAACGTGTAGCGCAAGCAGGCTGGGAGCGGCATCTCTGCCTTCGATGCTTCTGCTTTCTGGATATTCCACTTTCTGCCATCACCATTCGCGCTGCCCTCGATTTCCACTTTCCTCGTTCTACTTTCTCAACTCAAGCCGCTAACCGTTTCTTAGACTACCACTAATCGTCGATTTACCTTAGCTTCTGTCGCTCGTGTTAGCGTATCAACTCTCTATCACAGTCCAGCTTCCGCTGTTCAGAACTTTTCGACGCCGTGTTCGTTGGCGCGAAGCGTTTTTAGGTCATGATAGTTGACGACTTCGATCAGCCGAACGACGTTTATCTTTCGCGCGCGCCGGAGGATGTCATTATTTCGCGGAATGGAGCGGTGCTGGGAAAGAAGACCATCTTAAAGAGCGACCACTTCCCTGGCTGTCAGAACAAACGCCTGTTGCCTCACATCGACGGAGCTCCCAATTTCCGCCAGGTTCGACTTTCGCATTGTCTAATGAAACTCGGCACCATGCGTTTATCAGAGTCACCGGATTTTTCTTTCTGCATTCTGTGATACAGTTGTCCATTTAGGATTTTATTAAGCATTTCAAAGTAAGGTTGCTGTTTTCAGGGTACCGCTTACATGACCATTTGCCTAGAGCGTTCACTTTTCAACGTGAAATTGACATGTCAGGTTAGCATGCTTGAACTACCGTGCTTCCCTGGCATGGCAGGTCATCTACATCAATGGTCGCCCCTTCGTGCTGCGGGAGGTTGAGCGGCCGTTTACGAACCTCGAGTACACTGTGAGCACCACAATTCTGAATGCACAATATGGGTAATGGCATGGAATGGAATGCACTGTAGGATGTGATTCTGATTGCGAGCGTTGCAATCACAGCCAGTGCAGCTGAAATTGGCAGCCCTCAGAAAAAGCAGAGATTCTGTGGGGCACGACATGAATAGCTGTTTTGAGCGCCCTGTTTTCTTCTGATGCACGCCTATTCTCGTGCAGTGCGTCAGCTTTTTCTACTGAAGGCTTTTCAAAATCTCAGCTGATGGTGGTGGTGGCTGTGTATGTGTGTGGCTGGCAGGGCATCAACCGGGCGAGAGTGGAGCAGATGGAGGCTCGGCTGAAGAAGGATGTTCTCAGGGAAGCGGGCAGGTGAGCCATGGGTCTGATTGGGGTCTCGGTGCAGGCGCACATGACTCATGCGTGAAAGGAGTTATGCTGATGAAACGAAACGTCTTTCATTGGCATAAAATTATGCATCGTTGTATTCACCTTGCCTGAAGCAACGCGTAGACCGTACGCGTGCATGCTGTGGTGGTATGTGCTGGGGTGGCATGCCTCCATGCAGCAGCTGTGCTGTTTTCCCCCATGTGCAGCTGATGGCGAGTAATGAGTAGCTGTTGTGCCTGGCAATGAATGATGGACAAATGGGTGCATCTGTGTGTGCGTGTGTGTGTGGTCATGCATGTGTGTGCATGCGCTCTTGTGCATCCACGCAGGTACTCCAACAAGATCATGGTGAGCGATGAGCTGCCTGACGGCCAGATGGTGGACCAATGGGAGCCCGTTGGCCCTGACTCCGTGCAGACGCCTCTCGAGGTAAACTCCTTTTCCCATGCTTAATTGCTTCTCAGGATGTACTTTGTTTGCGGTGCGGTGCGGTGACTGACCTGTCAGATGCCATGCTTCGCCTTGCCATCACAACTCGTTTCGCGCTTGCACTGTGTTTTGAAGTCTGTGTTTGTCCCTGTCTGTAATGTGTGCACGCGCGCGTGTGTGTGTGCCATGCCATGCCATGCCGTGCAATGCAATGCAGGTGTACCAGGATCTGCAGAGGCAGGGGTACAATGTGGACTATGAGCGCGTGCCAGTCACCGATGAGAAGGTGCCTGAGGAGGTCGACTTCGATCTACTGGTGAGCCTTCACCCTTCTGCTGAGGATTCGATTTTCTTGTGAGCAATGACTCCATTCTGCTAATCCTCACTCATTGTATGAATAAAATCTTCTTGTTTCTCACCGTCAGCCTTCCTCCCAAACCAACCGTCTCTGCTGCCCTCCGTCTCACACTATTGTCATACTCCTCTAGCCTCCCTCCTCTCTCCTCCACCCACGCTGCCCCCTTCTCTTCTCTCCTCTCTCCTCTCCCACCCCGGCATGTTCTCCCTCCGCGTGGCAGGTGGAGAGTCTGAGTGGGGTGGACGAGGGGACGGCGCAGATATTCAACTGCCAGATGGGGCGCGGCCGCACCACCACCGGCACAGTCGTCGCCACCCTCATCTGCCTCGCTCGCCGCTTCCCCTCCCGTCAGTTGCCATGCCCTGCCTTCCTGTCAGTTGCCATGCCATTCTCTCCCTCCAGCAGCCATGCCATGCCCTCCCGCCAATTCAGTTGACATGGTCCTGCCCGCACGCACCCTCTGATTCCCAGATTTTCAGGCGTGGTGGCTCTTTCTGCACCTCGATGGCAGTAGCTCCAGCTGAGCTTCTGCTTCCGCCACCCACTCGTTGCCTCTGTGTTCACCTCGTAATTGCGGGTGTTCTCGTGGGCGTGGCCCCTGATCAATACGTCCAAATCTGATGCAGTGCTGGCGGCAATCAGCAGGCACACAAGCACCATGTCTGCACTGCATCGTTCACTTCTGACATACAATCTGTGCATGTTTTGTGTGGGCGTCTGTGTGTGCTCTGTGCATGTATGCGCGTGCCTGTGCGTGAAAATCCACGTGTGCAGGCATCATGTCGCCCTCAGCGGGCGCCAGCATGCTGGCCAAGGCAGCGTCCACAGCGGGCCACGAGCCAGGCGGGGCCGCCAAGCTCATGCTGGCCACCCCAGGCAAGGCGCACGGCGGAGTAGAGGGGGCAGCAGCGGCGGAGGCAGCGGAGGTGCAGGCGGAGGTGGATCGGGTGCTGCTGGCGGGGCAGTACGCTGTGATCCGCTCGCTCACGCGCGTGCTGGAGGCGGGCAGTGAGAGCAAGCGACTCACCGACCTCGCCATCGACCACTGCGCCTCCATGCAGGTGACACATGCTGCCATGGGAAAGGGCAACACAAGACTGGTATGGGCAGGTGACAGGCTGGCCTGAGAAGAGAAGGGATTGGCTTGAAAAAGGGGTCAGGGGTGTTGGTGTTCCTCCTGGACTGCTCTGTCTACGTATCGCGTTTCTCGAACTCTTGTTTCAGTGTAAGGAAAGGCACTTTCCATTCCCATTGCCACTACTCATTCATCCCATCCCTGCTCCCGCGTTCTGTTGGAAAATCCCCCTCAGAACCTCCGCGAGGCCATCTTGGGGTACCGCAACCGCATTCACCGGCACTCGGACGAGAAGCGGCGGCAGGCAGCACTGAACCTGTTTGTGGCGTACTTGGAGCGCTACTACATGCTCGTCTGCTTCTCCGCCTTCCTGCACTCCCTCACCGCCCCCCACGCCTCCACCCCCTCCTCCATCACCACCTCCCAAGCCCTGCCCTCGCCCTCGCCCTCGCTGTCTCACGGCAAGGCGGATGACCCCCCTTCCGCGCATGTGAGGGCGCAGGAGGCCCACACGAGGGGGCAGGAGCCACACACGCCAGGCAGGGAGCGCTTCTCCCTGCTGGACGGGCTGGCAGCCACACAGGCGCTGAGGGACGCCAAGGGCGGTTTCCAGCGCTGGATGAAGGCCCGCCCTGAGCTCTACAGCATTCTCCGCAGGTACGCCCTCGCTCCCTGCACCAGTTGACGGTGCCAGATTCTCGTGGCTGTTTTCATGGTGTAGGTGCTACGCATCATAGAGACTAGAGTTTCGGTTGATGAAGAACAGATTTGACGTGCGTACTTTGACTCCACACCATGCTGTGCATGTTTGTCACTACCAACATCATCATCAGCACCATCGCCTCTACTCCCCTCTCCATGGCAGGCTACTACGGAGAGACCCCATGGGAGCACTGGGGTACGCGCATCCAAAGCAGGCCAGCATGCCGCGAGCCCTCTCCTTCTCCCTACCTAACGCGGTCTCTTCCTCACCCACCCGTGATGCTGCTACTGCCGTCGCTGCTCTCCACGCACCTGCTCCCACTGGCGCGGCTTCACTGCCAGCAGTGGCAGCAGCGGGGCAGGGAACAGCGGGGCAGGGAGAGGGAATGGAGGTGGAGGGGGGGGAGGTGGAGGCGGGGGACGTGGCAGGGGAGGCGTTTCGCATGGCGGAGATGGCAGCTGCCATTGTGGAGGCGCGCTCAGGGGCCATGCTCAGCAAGCAGGTGCGCTCAGGAGCCATGCTCAGCAAGCAGGTGCGCTCAGGAGCCATGTATGGTGTGTGTGGTTTGCGTGGGCAGGGCATAGACCGGCAGCGCGTGGAGCGCATGGAGGCGAGGTTGAAGGGCGACGTGGAGAGGGAGGCGCAGCGCAGCGGCGGCATGGTGGTGGTGGACCATGAGAGCGACGCCGGAGAGCTCTTCCACGCGCTCGAACCCGTGCCCGCTGCCGCCCAGGGCGCTCATGGTGCCTGTGTGCAGACGCCTCTGGAGGTCTTCCGCATGCTGCAGGTGCGTGAGGAGCATGCCTGCCTGCCCGCCCGCCGACCCGCCCTCCCTCCCTCCCTCCCTCCCTCCCTCCCTCCCTCCCTCCCTCCCTCCCTCCCTCCCTGTCGCCTGCTGCTGCCTTTGCTGCCTTTTAAGGGGCTCGCCGTTCTCTTATTGTGCTGCCGTTAATACGCTTGTTGTGCCTGGCTGGGGCGCAGCATCCATGGCACTACCACTGCTGTTGTCCGCACAATGCTTTCTGCTCGCTCTGCCTGATCCACTGCACTCTGACCTTGCTCGTCCCTTCTCACACGCCCTTCACTGCACCCCTGGCAGCGGGAGGGCTTCAGGGTGGACTACCACCGCCTGCCCACCACGGACGGGCAGCCGCCCAAGAGCCGAGACTTTGACGCCCTCGCCACCACCATCAGCAGCGCCGGCCCCCACTCTGCCTTCGTCTTCAACTGCCAGGTGCCGTGCCATCACCCTGCTCCACCTGCACCTGCAACCTTGTCTCCTTCTCCTGCTCCTCTTGCTGCTCTTGGATGGCAGTAGACCTTACCTAGCTTGTGTTCTTCTCCCTCTGCTCCCCATGTCCTCGTCCTTGTTGCTGCCACGTCACTCGGGCCACCTTTTTCCGCTTCTGGTCTCTGCTCCCACCTCTCTCCGCCCCTCGGCCCCTGACCTCATATTACTCCCTTTGTCCCCCCCACTTCTTCTGCTCCCATGTCCTCAGATGGGTCGGGGTCGCACCACCACGGGCACGGTCATTGCGTCCCTCGTTCTCCTTCGCTGCATCTACGGCCGCCCTCTGCGCCTGCCCTCGCTACCCCCCTCCCTCGCCCTGCCCTCTCACTCCCACCCCTGCACTAGCCAGCCTTCTCCCCCCCGCTGCAGCCCCCGGAGCGGCAGCAGCAGCGGCAGTCAGGATAGTGACGACAGTATCAGTGGTGGCGGAAGCAACGATGAAAACGCTGGTGGCCGGAACAGTGATGCTAGCAGCCGTGATGCTAATGAGGGTGACGGTAGCGGTGCCATGAACCCTGACCTGCAAGGACCCAAGGCAGCGGAACCACACAGCGCCTGGCGGCAGGAGGATGGCCCCACAGCCCACCGCACGCCCTCCAGCCTCCGCAAGTGCTCCAGCGGGCAGCGGAAACGGCGGGCCACAGGGGATGCTGGAGTGGGCGTGGGAGGAGAGAGCGTCGAGCGGCGGCGATCGGGATCAGGCAATGGGAGAGGCGGGGGCGGGGGGAGAACGCATGAGGGTGAGGGTGAGGGCAGGGGCGGGGGAAGGGGGCGGGGCAAGGAGCAGAAGGCATGGGGGGACGAGTTTGAGCTGGAGGACATCCCGGTGGTGCGCAAGGTGACCCGCATGCTGGATGGCGGCGCTGCTGCGCGGCACGTGCTGGATGGCGTGGTGGACCGCTGCGCCCAGATGCTCAACATCCGTGAAGCCATCCTCAGCTACCGCCGTGCCTTCAACATGCAGGTGAGCTGGGGGAACGGAGGGGATGCGGTGGAGGGACGAGGGGTTGTGGTGTGGGGATGGATGGAGTGAAAGAGAGCGGATGAGGGAAGCTGGTCAGCGTGCGGGCATGGTGTCTTGTCACGTCTGCTCAATGCAGGTGAGGTTGTCCAAGCTTTATGGTGGTCGTGAGGCAGAGAGAAGATGAGCGCTCTGGTGGTTGGGATTTAAGGAGAACGAGATGAGCGACATGAGGAGAGTGGGTCGGTTTGTCAGTGATGTCTACAAATATCCACCCATCAGCTTGATGTCCCCATGTGCCATCGACGTATATCAACTTCTCCCACGTACGCCTAGTGCCCCGTGCTGTCCGCCCGCTGCCCCAATGCTTGGATGCCTTGGTAATCCGTTTCATCATTTTGTTTCACCTCCTGCGGCCACATTCACATCCTCTCACCCACCCCGCGATGCTGGCAGGACGCGGATGCGCGCACGAGGCAGAGTGCGCTGAGCCGCGGAGCCGAGTTCCTGGAGCGCTACGTCATGCTCATCGCCTTCGCCTCCTACCTCTCCTCGCCTCTCTTCCGCCCCGCCGCCCCCTCCCTCTGGCCCCGCTCCTCCTCCTCCTCCTCTACCTCCCTGCCCTCCATCCCTCCCTCCTCCTCTCACACCGCCCTGCCCCGCCTCTGCCCCTCCCTGCCTGCTGCGACCAGTTCTACCAGTGGTGAGGCTGCAGGCTCGGATGCAGGGGAGGGTGGCGCAGAGAAAGAGAGAGGGGAAAAACAAGGTGGGGGGCTGAGTGCGCAAGGGCAGGCCGAGGCTAATGGAGAAGGAGAGGGAGGAGAGGGGGAGGGCGAGGCGGTGAGCTTCAAGGCGTGGCTGAAGCGGCGGCCGGAGATCCGCCAGATGAAGTGGGGCCTGCGCCTGCGCCCTGCTCGCCTCTTCACCATTCCGGTGCGCTGCCCTGCCTCACCCTGACCTGGGCCCCCACAGTCCATGTGTGCCATAGACTATGCTGTACCGTGTTCGTCCAATGTGTTTCCCCGTGGCTGCATGCATCCCATGCCATGCCAATTCTTTCCACCCAAACAATCACATCCCACCACGTTGCACCCTGTATTACCATGTCATGTCTTATTCCATGTCAGCCTATTGTTTTTCGACCGTAATGCTTCCCACTCCCCGTCCCCGGCACATTGCCCTCTCAGGAGGTGGGAGTGCGGCTGCGTGACAGCGATGCGAGCGCCAGTGGGGCAGCGGGGGCTGTGGAGGAGAGGGAGGCCGAGGATGCAGTGTTGCGGGCGCGGCGAGGGGCAGTGCTGGGGCGCGGGTCCATTCTGAAGCTCTCGCTCTTCCCTGGCCTGCAGCCGTCCGCGCTCAACTACTCCATCCAGATCCCCCACGTCCCCAACTACTTCGAGGTCCGCCCCTCCCACCCCCCTTCTGCCGCTTGCCCTCTGCTCTCTCCCTCTTCGTCCTTTTTTCATGTCTCACCTCGCTCCACCTTTTCCCCTTTCTCCTCCCGCCAGGCCCCCGGGTACCCAGTGCACAGCATGGCGACGCCCACGGTGCAGGGCGCACAGGCCGTGCTCGCCCACCTGGGCGCCGTGCCACAGCCCACGCCACCCGCAGCAACAACAACCGGCGGTAGCACTGGGGAGGCGGATGGGAAGGCGGAGGGAAGGGGGGAGGCGGATGGGAAGGGGGAAGAGAGGGGGGAGGCGGATGGGAAGGGGGAAGAGAGGGGGGAGGCGGAGGTGGTGATAGTGGATCTGAGGGAGGAGGCAGTGGTGTACGTGCACGGCAAGCCCTTTGTGCTGCGCGATGCCCACCAGCCCGCTGCTGCCCTCAAGCACGTGGGCATCGCTGGGAGCGCCGTGGCGGCCATGGAGGAGCGGCTCAAGGCGGACATCCTGCAGGAGGCTGCTCGGTGCGGCGGCATGGTGCTGCTGCACAAGGAGCGGCCCAGAGAGGGGCACGTGCAGGCTGGGAGCAAGGGTGCGGTTGACGGAGCTGATGGGGCTGCAGACAGTGGCGCTTTGGAGAGTGGCTCTGCTTCTGCTGCCGCTGCTGCTGCTGGTGTCACGGACGTCAGTGCTGCTGCAGATGGCGGCGCTGCTGCTTTACCTTCTGCTGCGGATGATACCGCTGGTGCACAGCGCACAGCGGGCAGCACAGCTGCTGAACCGCCTGCATCAGGTGCCGCTGTGGCGGTGGGCCCCACGGAGATCATCGGAGTGTGGCGGGCGGTGGGGCGGGACGACGTGAAGACGCCAGCAGAGGTGTACCGTGAGCTGAGGGAGCAGCAGGGGTACCTCGTGGACTACCGGCGCATCCCCCTCACACGCGAGAGAGTCCTCGTGGCATCCCCCTCACTGCAGCTCTACGTTCAACAGTAAGCCCGCCATGCTGCCATCCCCCCACCCCCCGATGTCCACACATAACTGACAAAGGGAGAATGTTTGGGGTGTTGCCTCTCAGCCCTCCGTTCCGATCAACACATTCGTGTTGCGATGTCGAATGCTCGAGAGCTTTTGAAGACTAGGCAGTTTGAGTGCAGATAGAGCAACTTGAGCTCCTCCATCCGTCACCCTGCACTCTCCGTGCACCTTGAACACCTTCACAACTAAATCGCCTCCTTCATTCCTTTCTCTACCCCTCCCTGCTCCCCACACTGTCCCCCACACCCCCTGCCACCCTCACCCCACCCGCCCTCACACGGTCCACCTCTGCACCCCACCAGCCGAGGCCCCAACGTGAAGTTCCTGTTTGTGTCGCACACGGGCTACGGCGCTATTGCATACGCCATGGCGCTCACCTGCCTGCACCTGCAGGCCACCACTCTCCCCTCGCCTGCTCCCCACGCCCCCGCTGCCGCTCCCTCCTCACCCACTGCTGCTGCCGCATCATCCCCCACCCTCGCCAAGCAATCTACTGCTTCTTTCTCCATTCCGGTCCCCAAGGCTGTCGGCGGTGCGGGGGGGAAGGGGGAGTACCGCAACGTGCTGCAGCTGGAGCGAGTGCTCGTGAAGGGGCCGCACTGCAAGCGACTTGTGGATGCCGTCGCTCACAGGTGGGTGGCACATAGGTGGGTGGCACATAGGTGGGCGGCACATAGGTGGGTGGCACATAGGTGGGCGGCACATAGGTGGGTGGCACATAGGTGGGTGGCACATAGGTGGGCGGCACATAGGTGGGTGGCACATAGGTGGGCGGCACATAGGTGGGTGGCACATAGGTGGGTGGCACATAGGTGGGCGGCACATAGGTGGGCAGTGCACAGGCAGTGCACAGGTGGGCAGTGCACAGGTGGGCAGTACACAGGTGGGCAGTGCACAGGTGGGCAGTGCACAGGTGGGCAGTGCACAGGTGGGCAGTACACAGGTGGGCAGTACACAGGTGGGCAGTACACAGGTGGGCAGTACACAGGTGGGCAGTACACAGGTGGGCAGTACACAGGTGAGAACAGTTTGGAGGTGGTGAGAATGAATTTACAGGGTTTGACAGATTGGAAGGCATGCCTTGGATGCACGTAAGGCAACAGCAGGGAGAGGGGTCCAGTCCAGTGCTGGGAGTGGAGTGCGGTGCCACTGACAGCACTTTTTGCTTGTGCGTGCTGCGCATGCTCACATCTGCTCTGCTCTTCCCTCCACCATGTTCTCTCCCCTCCACCTTGTGTGCTCCCCACCACCTTGTGCGCTTGCCTTCACCATGTGTGCTCCCCACCACCATCTGTTCCCCCCCTCACCGTGCACTCCCACCCATGCAGGCTGCTGGCGGTGGGGCGGATAGTGGAGGATGCGGTGGAGTACAGGAGGGCAGTGGAGGCGGTGCAGGGGGACGACACGGTGGACCGCGACAGGCGGGCGGCACTCACTGACATGGGGCTCAAGGCGCTCAGGTGAGGCAAGGCGCTGCTTGCTGTTGTCTTCTACTTGATCCGGTATGCTAGCTGTACGGGTATGCTAGCTGTACGGGTATGCTAGCTGTACGGGTATGCTAGCTGTACGGGTATGGTTTGCTTCCCAACAAAGCGATTCCACACAATGACGCAGCTATGTCAGTTTCAAATGTATGTTTTATTTGTGTTTTGTGCTAGCTGTCTATGTTGTCTATCCCTTTTGCTACCCTTCACTTATGCAACCTCTCGTATGCACTCTCTCAATTATGCTACTCTTTAATCCGTGATTTCCAGACATGTGCACGTATATTTACGTCTACTAACACGTTATTTTGTGAATTCCACCTCCCCTCCTCTCCTCCCCATCCCGCGTCCTTTGGGTGCAGGCGCTACTGTTACCTCATAGCCTACCGTTCCTACCTCTTCTCCAGGGCATCTGCCAGCGGTGCTGCCAGCAGCAAGGGCAAGGCAGTGGTGGAGGCAGGGGGGGCGAAGGGAGTAGCAGGGGGCAGTGGGGAGTCGTTTGGCGCGTGGGTGGCGCAGCGGCCGGAAATAGAGCACATGCTGCAGCACCTGGTGCTAGAGTGACGCACTGCAGGCCATGGACCTCAAGCTATGAGTCACTGCACTTGCCACTGGCGTTGGTCATGGCCGATGGGGCCCAAGTAAGCTTGCATGGCCTTGTTCTTGATGGCTCGTGAATGCTCGCTCGCTAATTGCTTGTGTTTTTGTAGGTATGAGATGGATTTATTGGTAGTACAGTAATAAGCCAGCTATAACAGGTACCGGTACATAAATAAGCTGGTAAATTATTCAGACACTGTATACATGTTACGTTGTATTTGTTTGTTTTATCAGTTCGTACTAACAGATTTCATAAATAGGCACCATGGGGTTGGGTATTGCTAAGGGAACATTCCTGTGGGGACACTTGTGTCTCAATCACTTTGTGACACCCAAAAACAACATAAATTGTATTGTGTCCCAAATGCGAGTCGCCTTTCAGCGACTTCTACTGTATTTTTTATTGGTCAGCGTGAAACGCGCTGACGTTGCTGACGAATTGCGAAACGACCCGTCATTGTAAAAAAATCGCACGCGACCCGAAATGCCCGACACGACCATATGCACCTGGATGTCAAACTATATGCTTGTGTTATCTCTAGGCTATAGTGGGTTAGCCTACAAGGGGTACAACAAACTAGGGTTAGGACTACTTGTACTGCCCTTTCATCTCAATGCACTCATTCCTGCACAGTGATTCTGACATGGTATTCAGAGCAGGAAACCTGTTAGGTTTTTAGGGCCCACCTATCGTTCCGCTAGTTCCTGCCCGAAGCGCCCTTGCGCTGTCCGGCCCTCTCACACAGTGTCACGCTGCCCTGCAGCTACTCGCACTGCCTGCCCTAGCGCGCTGCCCTGCTGTCACGCGCGCCCCTGCTGCCCGCAAGCAGCCCCTGCTCCGCGCGCCCCTGCTGCCCGCGTGCAGCCTCTGCCCCGCGCGCCACTGCTGCCCGCGAGCAGCCCCTGCCCCGAGCGCCCCTGCTGCCCGCGAGCAGCCCCTGCCCCGAGCGCCCCTGCTGCCCGTGAGCAGCCCCTGCCCTGCGCGTCGCGCCCTGCTGCAGCCCGCGCGTCGCGCTCTGCTGCTCCGCGCGTCGCGCTCTGCTGCCCCGCGCGTCGCGCCCTGCTGCAGCCAGCGCGTCGCGCCCTGCTGCCCCGTGCGTCGCGCCCTGCTGCAGCCCGCGCGTCGCGCCCTGCTGCAGCCCGCGCGTCGCGCCCTGCTGCCCTGCACAGCGCGCTCCCTGCTGCCTGCGCCGCCCAGTCCGAGCCGCGCCGCCCAGCCCGAGCCGCCCTGCCCAACGTGAGCCGCCCTGCTGCTACTACTGCTGCTGCTGCTGCTGCTCGTTCTACTGCTGCTGCTGGTGGAGGTGCTGCTGGGAGTGCTGGAGGTGCCACCGCCCAGCCCCACCGAGCCGCCCTGCTGCTACTACTGCTGCTGCTGCTGCTCGTGCTACTGCTGCTGCTGGTGGAGGTGCTGCTGGGAGTGCTGGAGGTGCTGCTGGTGCTGGAGGTGCTGGAGGTGCGGCTGGGAGTACTGGAGGTGCGGCTGGTGCTGGAGGTGCGGCTGGTGCTGGAGGTGCTGGACCTACTACTGACCGTCACTGCCTGTCATGGCCACTATCGCGGCAGTTGCAGCGGCTAGGGGTGGACAGCAGCGGTCCCTGCCTCTCCCGGACGACCCCACCCCTCAGCAGCTTCGTGAGTGGGTTATTCGGCGAGCTCGTCCAGGTGGTGGAGGCTTTGATTTTATGTGGCCTCAGCGACCTCGCGACTGTGCTTCTCAGCGATGCGTCCCTGGTCGTGTAGAGGCTGTTGCTCTCGGTTCTAGTGAGTCTGCTGCCGCTCCAGGTGCTGGTGAGTCTGCTGCAGCTCTAGGTGCTCGTGAGTCCGCCGACGCTCTAGGTGCTAGTGCGTCTACTACCACAGGTCCTGCCTCAGCTGAGGCCGTGCACACTTTCACGCTTGACTCAGGAGCGTCACGTTGCTTCTTTCGTGATTGCACCACAGTCACACCACTCGCAGCACCTGTCCCAGTCTCACTGGCTGACCCCACTGGGGGCCCAGTAGTTGCGCGAGCCTCCACTGTCCTCCCGTGTCCGGCAATCCCCTCCGGTTCTCTGTCAGGTCTCCACCTCCCCACGTTCTCGACGAAGTTGGTGAGCAACGCTGCCATTCAGGATGTCTGGGTTGATACCTTTATTCCTGGATTGCAGCGTGTGGCGATCTGTACTTGCTCCCGGACTGGCCATCACCTAGCTACGTTCACTCGACGGCCTGGGTCTAGTCTGTACACACTTACCACTGCGTCTGCACAGGTGGCTGAGTCAGGTCAGGTGGCTGCGTCGAGTCGGGTGTCTGCGTCTGGTCAGCTTGCAGCGTCTTGCTCGTGTCGGGTACTCTCCCACCAGACTCTCCTCTGGCACCACCGCCTCGGTCACCCCTCACTGCCGCGTCTCCGCAGCATGCACTCCCGTCTCCTTGTCTCTGGCCTTCCCAGGTCCCTGCCCTCCCTCCCGCGCTCGCCTGCACCACCGTGCCTTCCCTGCGTCGAGGGGCGGCAGCGCGCCGCTCCTCACTCCTCCGTGTTTCCTCCGACCACTGCTCCTCTGCAGACTCTCCACATGGACGTGTGGGGCTCGGCCCCCGTCGGTGGAACGGACCAAGAGCGCTACTTCCTGCTGGTTGTTGACGACTACGCACGCTACACCACTGTCTTCCCCTTGCGACGCAAGGCGGACGTCAGCGGTGTTTTGATCCCCTGGATCCGTGCTACTCGTCGCCAGCTGCGTGAGCGGTTTCGTCGGGACTTGCCAGTCCTGCGTTTGCACTCTGACAGGGGCGGTGAGTTCTCTTCCGGCCTCCTTGAGGAGTTCTGTCGAGACGAGGGCATCCGCCAGACGTTCACGCTTCCGGCCTCTCCTCAGCAGAATGGGATTGCTGAGCGTCGCATTGGCTTGATCATGGATGTTGCTCGTACCTCCATGATCCATGCGGCTGCTCCCCATTTTCTGTGGCCGTTTGCGGTCCGATACGCTGTGCATCAGCTCAACCTCTGGCCCCGTGTCTCTGAGCAAGAGACCTCGCCCACACTCCGGTGGACGGGGAAGGTTGGCGATGCGTCGGCGTTTCGGGTCTGGGGCGCGCTCTCCCTTGTTCGCGATGCCAAAGCGAGCAAGCTCTCCTCTCGCACTCTCCGCTGCGTCTTCCTTGGCTTCCCCACCGACGCCCCGCCGTGGCAGTTCTACTACCCGCGCTCGCGTCGAGTCTTCTCCTCCCAGGACGTCACCTTTGACGACTCTGTCTGTTTCTACAGGCTACACCCGCACGCGTCCCACCCGGTCCCCCTCGCGCCTCTTTTCCTGGTACGAGTCCCCCCCCCCGGTAGACCCCTTCCCCCCACAGGGTCCTGCTCCCTCAGGTGTGTCTCAGGTAGACCCACCCCCCTTGGTTGAGCCTCTGGAGATCTCTTCTGACTCCTCTGGCCCAGCTGAGGGGGGTGACCCCGCCGCTCACCACACGGCGGCCACTCCCCGCTCTCCACGCTTGGAGACCCCCCCTGGTTTTCCGCCTCGGCCGTCTTTGCCGCCTCCGCAGCCTGCTGCTGTGGACTCTGGAGATGAGACTGCTGGTGCTGAGCCTGGGGGTGCTGAGATAGAGGGTGAGGGTTCTGGGGGTGCTGCGACGGGGGGTGCTGGTTCTGGGGGTGCTGCGACTGGGGGTGCTGACTCTGGGGGTGCTACGAGTCCTAGTGGCGGTGGAGCTGTGGGTGACCCTGCTGGAGGTCCTGGAGCTGGACAGCCACCGCAGCCTGATCTACTTGAGACGCTCTCGCCGCAGGCGATTTGTGTGTGGATCGTTCGGCGAGGCAGTCCTGGTGGTGGAGGGTACGGTCCTGCTGGTGCTGGAGCTACTAGTCCTGGAGGTACTGCTGGTGCTGGAGGTGCTGGAGGTACTGCTGGAGGTGCTGGAGGTGCTGCTGGTGCTGGAGGTACTAGAGGTGATGCTGGTGCTGGAGGTACTGGAGTTGCTAGTCCTGGAGGTACTGGAGGTGCTACTGGTGCTGGAGGTACTGGAGCTGCTACTGGTGCTGGAGGTGCTGGAGCTGCTAGTCCTGGAGGTACTGGAGGTGCTGGAGGTGCTGGAGGTACTGGAGCTGCTGCTGGTGCTGGAGGTACTGGAGCTGCTGCTGGTGCTGGAGGTACTAGAGCTGCTAGTGCTGGAGGTGCAGCTGGTGCTGGAGGTGCTGGAGGTGCTGCTGGTGCTGGAGGTACTGGAGCTGCTAGTGATGGAGGTGCTGCTAGTGCTGGAGGTGCTGGAGCTGCGAGTGCTGGAGGTGCTGTTGGTGCTGGAGGTGCTAGAGCTACCACTGCTGGAGGTGCTGGAGCTGGACAGCCACCGCAGCCTGATCTACTTGACACGCTCTCGCCGCAGGCGATTCGTGCGTGGATCGTTCGGCGAGGCAGTCCTGGTGGTGGAGGGTACGTTCCTGCTGGTGCTGGAGCTACTAAACCTGGAGGTACTGCTGGTGCTGGAGGTGCTGGAGGTACTGCTGGAGGTGCTGGAGGTGCTGCTGGTGCTGGAGGTACTGGAGCTTCTCGGCCTGGAGGTACTGGAGGTGCTGCTGGTGCTGGAGGTACTGGAGCTGCTGCTGGTGCTGGAGGTACTGGAGCTGCTAATGCTGGAGGTGCTGCTGGTGCTAGAGGTGCTGGAGGTGCTGGAGCTGCTAGTGCTGGAGGTACTGCTAGTACTGGAGGTGTTGGACCTGCTGGTGCGCTTCGCCATCTTCTCGGTCTTCCGCCAGCTCCTACTGAGATCCCAGTCGCTGCTACTACTCCTTCGTTACTGTTCCCACAGCTACTGCTGTCACAGAGTCCCTGACTGAGCGTCGAGAGCCTGAGACTCGTGCTTCCACTCCTGAGCGTCGAGAGCCTGAGACTAGTGCTTCCGTTCCTGCTCGTGTTCGTTGTGTGCGTCGTCCTCGTGCTCCGGCTGTCCCATGCACTCACGATACGACACTCCGTCCTTCC